CTTTACAACGAGAATCTTATGCTCTCATTATTACACGACTAGTTATTGGAGAGCAACATATGTTGAAACTATATTTCAACTACCGAATGAAGCCGAATGGGAAGTTCCCGACCGTATTCTCCAACTTAATAATTTGTTGCCACCTGAAATCGGACCACTTGCCCCGGGACGTAGACGTCCCTCTAGAATACCAACCACCGGAGAATTTCCCCGACCTCGATTCCCACTTAATAGTTTGTTGCCACTAGAAGTTGAACCACAAGATCCTAGACACCGCGTACGTCTAGACTAGAATATCATCCATCGGAAAGTTTCCTCGACTGCATAGGTACGAGGTGTAGAGCAACATGACATACTCGTTAATTTTGTAAATGTCAGATTATCCTAAATGATAATTAGACGAATGTTTAATGATATCACTGATAATTGAACAATATTTACAATTATTTCACAATTAAATATACAATATTTATATTTTTTACAATATTTATAATTATTTAACAATTAAATATACAATATTTAACGATTATAATTGAATTCATACAAATCACACGCTAACTTATTCTTCCAATTTTGTATACATGATTGCTTGATTCTATCAATCTTATGTGCTATACTAAAAAATCCAATATATTTTTTTACAATCGTCACAGCAATTAAGTAATAAGGTGTTAGTTCGATACCGTGTAACTAAGTTTTCAAATTAAAAAATTATAAATACTTACGATTTCGACAGTCTTACCATCATCGTGTCTCGCACAATGGCTAATCTATCCTACACAATCACCCTCACTCGACAGTCTTGTCGTCATCGTGTCTCGCACAATGGCTAGTCTATCCTACACAATCACCATCACTCATCTAGCCATCAAAGGAACGATCATAACCACCGGCTCCAAGTGAAGCTCGAGCTAACCCCGTGTCAAACAGGAATGATCGGAGTTGCACACATATATAGTGAAATCAGCAAAGTGATTGGGGTACGTCCCACCGACAAACGTCATCCTCTTCGCCTCAGCCGTGAAATAAGAAACGACGTACTGTGACGGCAATATCGGCTTCTTGCCGACCACCTGCTCTGGCACGTCAATAGCACACTTATTACCCTATGCCACGACTGGCATCCTCTCCTGTATATGAAAAATTAACCATTTTCCTATAATTACCCCTTAATTAACCCTAATATGTATTTAATTAAATAATTAACACATATCTATACACGTAGTAGAAAATTTATCATTTTTTTATAATCATTCCTTAAATCTCTCATCTAACAATGGATAGAGTGGCGTATATATTGTAAAAATTATCGAAGAAGGAATTTTCTTAATTTATCTTTCATTTATATCTTATTTATGTATTCTCTATCAAAAATCATGTCCATATATAAATATATAGTTTAGGAAATTGCACGTGTAGTCCCTTAACTATTGGTCAATATGTAATTTGGTCCTCTAACTTTCATCATCTTGCACAAATGTCTTAATTTCATAATTCACTATCACTACAATATATAAAAGATGAGAGTTTGTTACTATTCATAAGGCATCATCCTTATGTCATGCTGATGTCATATATATGTATATGAAATGAATTATTTAGTGTCATTTTCATTTTCAGTTACATTTCATCTATTTACACTTCATTTAACATAAATTTGAACATTATTGTTTCATTTCACGTAAATTTCAACGTCATTTTCATTTACGTTTACATTTTATCTATTTACATTTCATTTCATGTAAATTTGAACATCATTTCCACTTATATTTGCATTTCCTCATCTATCACGAACACACTCTCTCTCTTTCTCTCTATAGCATAAAGCAAACATTATTTTTTGCCTTCTCTCGATCTTTTCTCTCCCTCCTATACAGACAAACGTTTATCATATCTCTTGGTAATATAACTTTTTATTTCTCATTTTTTTTATTATAATTGTTATCTGTATGATGATGATTTTTTTAGTGGGAACCGTTTGTTAAGAACTTTGGTTTTTATTTCTGTATTTCTCTCCTTTGTGATGCGAAACAAAAATTTTGCGTTTGTGAATCAGTGCAAGTTTATGTATATGCATAGATGTATTGCCTAGATCTGTAAGTTTTGTGAAGAAAAATAGTGTTGTAAGGATTGTTATGTTCTTTTCAAAAGTCAGCAATCTAGATTGGAGGCTGCATAGAGAAGTAAAATAATCCATTAGTGGAGGATGAGATTGCAGAATATTAATTAATATTGCATGGAAAGGAAACTCTTAATTAACAAACTTTTATGGATTTAAATACTTTATTTTTTGTGGGAATTTGTGAGGATAACTGTATAACAGGTAAATGAGCCCAGAAAAATGAAATTTGGGAGCCTACTAGATAATCAGAAAAACGAAGAGCTTGAGAATGAAAAGAAAAATATAAGAAAAGATGAAAATAATGTCATCCTGTGTTTGGTCCCCTAAAAAACACCGAGGCCCATTTGTCCACTATTTTTGAAGGGCAAAGTTTCTATCCAACAAGTAGGAAGGATTGCTCAAGAAAAAAATTCAAAAATAAATAATATTATATAACATAAAGTTCAAAGAGAGTAATATGTACAGGAAACGAAGTTTTTGTAGCTTGCCCAATATGTTAGGGATTGGGCCATTTTGGTTTGAGAGCTTTTAAGAGAAGTTGTCTAATGAATCCCTGATAAAACAAATGAAAGAAAAGCAAAAAGGGGAAAATAATATTTTATTGATAGTATGTGAAATTATGTTGAGGTCTCAATATGTTTATAATTTCGTATAAATAATATAGTGACTCTAAGGGGAAAATTAGAAAGTGCCGACCCCAGGTTGTCCATCATTTTGGGCCAATACAAATGACTAAGTGTTCTTCATCATTTCAATAATTACTGAGTTATTATAGTTACATTTGTTGGAAGTTTATAACGCGATCTTAATATCCGATCCTACTTCGTTGATATTCTCNCCGCGATCTTAATATCTGATCCTGCTTCGTTGATTTTCTCATCACCATTGATGAATTTCTTAATTTCTGAATTTTCGAACATTTCATTTTATTGACCTTTTTCTTCTTTTGGCTACAGGTCTACTTTGCATTGTAGAGCTTTTCAAAGGTATAATTTCATTCTGAATAATTTTATTATTTAACACCACCTTATATTAAGTTATTTCTAATTGCTTTATAAGAAATTAACAACAAAACACATTTTATCTGCTTCAACACTAAAGCTTTACTTGCATTACATTAATGTTGTTTCATACTTTATGGATGAGTTGACTTTCTAATTAGAGCGAAATATTTTTGCTGCTTTTTCTATGTATGAACTAGCTACTGGATAGAAACTAAAATTATGAAATCTGTTTGCATCAAAAGAAGGTGTTGCAAGGCTATATAGTTTCCATTTTTAGCAAGTTTTAATCAATGGTTTCCCATTCCCATTTTTACAGGGGGTTGAAATAGCAAATAATAGTAGGGTTCTTGATATTCGAGGATTTGACATATTAAAATTTCACCTTCAATTTACTTTTTTGAAATATATTTTTTTGTCTTTCCTTATTTTCTTAAACTCTCTGTTTGAAGCAAAACAACACTTGGAAAAGCGAAATTTTCAGTGTCAACTCCGACAGAGCACATTGAGTCACTTGTAACAAAGAAATTTGGTTTTCCCAATAATTTCTATACCAAGCACGAGTTGGAAGAAGTAGTGGGTAGATGCTGTCTTGGGTTTACTTGTAGTGATTGGGTAAAATCATTTATAAAATTCTTTGAATATCTACCAAATGTGGATAAGGTACAACATATCTATTGAAAGTTTCTATTTCTTTTAAAGATTGTTGTTTAAAATTATTATTTTCAATTCTTGTGAATCTCTGGGAATGCACTGTTAGCCCTGCATTTTGCTTAGATAAGGTCTGATTGAAATTGATAGAAATTGAGTTTGTTCACTGCAATGTTGTAATTCTCAATCAGAAATGAGACATAAAATTCGACCTCCAAAATTTGAACATGAACAAGAAGTTAAAGGATTACATATTTCATCCAGAAATTGATTTTATCGCA